TCACGCTCATATGCGCAGTTTCGTAGAATTGGACAACCAAGGTCGTTGGTGCTGTACTTGCTGTGCGTTGCATCTATTTTCTCCGGAGCCATCATAGGACATTGGGCATACAAAGCGAGTCTTGCAGCATCACTTGCATGGTGTGCTGTATCTGGCATGCTTGCTTGTCTAAGCGGTGGGCTGAAGGTCTTCAAGTCGGCCTTTGGCCGCAGTTGACCTTGGAACGGCCAAATACTAAACGATCGTCAATTCCTGTTTCTCGTTCGATAGAGCGTTCGAGACGAACATGATTCTTCCAACGCGGGTGCAAATCCGAATACATCTACCGTGTCACAGCTCTGAAAGAGCATTTCTTGTTTCAACTCCTGCTTGTGCAGCAGCCCCATAAAGTCTTCGGTGCTCTGCTTGCGGCATGTTACAGTTTACAGAGGACATTGTGCAGAGAAGGAGAGTATTGCAACATCACTCGCTTGGTGCGCTGCATCTGGAGTTGGGGCTGAAGGTCTCTGTGAGTGTCGTTCGCTGCAGTTGACCGCTGCCGGCTTTCGAGACGAAACGACCAAAGGTTCGTTAGTGCTCATTCCTCCGACAGGCTTCTGGAGGCGAGCCTGATTGGACCAAATTGTAGCTCTCAGTACATCTACATCACTTCTGCCATAGCCCCAACATGGGCGCCTTTCTGCTGTGCAGGAGCCCCAAACACGATCAATCGTCGGTTGGATCATGTCATTTGTTGGTCTAGGCAGATTAGGGCGCAGGGTTTGCAAGTTGCATGTGGAGAGTGTGAGAGGGTCTCCAGAATGGCCACAGCGTTTTTAACTTAGGGGCTGAGTAGGTAACCTGTAACCTTTTTTGGGCTTGTATAATCCTACTATAATGCAAAAGGTTAACCTTTTTTTGGGCTAAGGTACTCAGCCCCTACGTTAATCACTTCGCCATGGTTGGCTCTGAAAAGCTTTCAATGCATTTCCGAACGGCGCCGGGAAGGCTTCTTTCTAGCTCTCGATGGCCGTGAGAGTCCAAATCGCCCGACAGTTAAGGACCAGAGTGGGTACTTGGACCCCCTTGTGGTAACAGCACAGCACATGTCTGTCTTAGCCTGTTGGCTTGGCGTCCACCTGGCTGCATCCTCCCAACATCAAAATCTCGCAGATTTCACCATCCCAGTTCTTTCGGGTTTGGGGTTGAAGCAGGAATCAGGGTTTGGGGTTCAGGATTTTAATCGCAATTGGAAATATAAGGCTTGAGAAGGTTGAGGGCTCAGCATCTATGGCAGCCCACACCAGAAACCAGAAATTCCAGACACCTGAGAGCGCCTCGCATCCGCACCCACGTGCCCAGCATGAGTGCCAACGCATTTACGCGCATGTCCTTCACATGACTGAAACCACCCGGAGCCCCTTAGTATTATTATAACTATTAGTAATATGATATTACTATTATGAGTCCCTTAGTATTATTATAACTATTAGTAATATGATATTACCATTATGATTACTATTATTACTATGGTTGCTAGTATTCTGTAGTACCACTTTAGGGCCTTCGACTTCGGGCTGGTAGGGTCCGAACTTGTTGGTTCACCAGGGCCCTAGTAGGGAACAGTGGGCATTTAGTGGTTAGGGTTTAGGGTTTAGGGGTATAAACAACTACTTAGGGAGGATCCGAGAGAAGGGTGCGCGCCGTGGTCGCAGAACAACGTGGGTCTTCCACATGAGGGTGTGGGGCATCGATCGTTAGAGGTTCATTCTTACGTTGGCCACTTCAGGACATGACACATGTGTTAGACCATTGACATTTCAAGGCCTGCACTTCTCTGCAGGAGCCATTTGTTGAATGGCCGAGTTCGGGTTCCGTGTGGTAACTCTACACCAACATCATTTCTCCATCGCCGAATCAGAATGCGGCCTTTTGGTTCATAGGTGTTCTGGGGTTTAAAACTCAGACTTAAACCCCCGAGCCCGGCAGCTCTAGATGTTCAGTTAGGGGTTCAGGGTTGAGGGCTTAGGGTGAAATGAGCAGAAGACCCTAAACCCTAAACCCTAAACCCCTAAACCCTAAACCCTAAACCCAAGAAGTGTTGATCCCAGACTTACCATCTGGAGCCCTTAGGTGGTAACCTTCGAGTCTGCGAGGTTCGGGTTGATCTTACGGGGGGTCTAATATAGCAGCCTTAATAATTAGAATAGGGTTTGGGGGGTTCCTTATTATCATTATAGTGTAATGGACCCCCAAACCCTATTCTAATTATGAAGGCCCGGGTTTAGGGCCCGGTCGAGATGTGCTCTAGGTCCAGCAGAGCTGTGTGAAGTTTGAAAACCCCTCTAACAGAGCATGTCCATGTATCTGTCGATAGTGTATACCCTTTGGCCTGAAGTTTAGGGTTTAGGGTTTCAACGTAGATACTTTAGGGCCGCATGATGTGCCACATAATATAATTTGGGCCAATCTGGCGGGCCGAAGCCTATACCTTGTACCCTGAGTGGCGAGCACGGGAACCTAAGTATCCAGACAGTGCATGAAGTTCAACTTTTCCCGAAGGCTCCCGAAAGGAGGCTTCTTGGCCCTGCTATGCCCGGCTTTTGCCCTTGTGAGCCTTGGGGTGTCCATTGAGGACTGGACGCAGTTATTGCCGAGAGATGTCCGGACTCAGAGACTCATATTGCGAGAGAAAAGTATCGAGCTAAAGCCTTCAGACGAAGAATCCGCAATGCCACCACATCCATGAGCCAGAGACCCAACAGCGCCTGATCCCTTAGCACCATCCTGCCGATCCGGAGTGTGGAATCTTGAAGTCAGTTACCCATGTGCTTCCGGAGTTCTTTTCAGATATTTTTGGAGGAATGTGTGGCTAGAGTCAGGACTGAACTTCAGTCTGAAGCCAGTCTATACGATAGGCTTGCTTTGTTGATTTCCGGTACACGGTGCACGGTGGCAGGGGGGGAAGGAGGGTTGAGGCGAGGGCGAAGAAGGAGGATAGCCAGCGAGGGGGAGTGGGAGGATGCGCAGTCTTGGATGCCGCAGGTTTGTAAGCTGGGCCGTGCAGTTTCACATCCAGAAGATAGGGTGGAATCGCTCGTTCGTAAGCGTCTGTGGTGCTCTACTTAGAAGGTGACAAGGGGGCTAAAGAAAAACGTGGGAACCCCCTTCACCGGCGTTTGCCCCCAGCTTGCCGGGGTCGTGCATGAGTGTAGGGCACATAAACCCTAAAGCCTAAACCCTGACTGCCCTAAACCCTAAACCCTAAACCCTGACTGCCTGCCAATGCCTGTGCCAGGTCTGCAAACTCTCGGGCAAGACGGACATAGAGCTGACAGGCCCTTGAAGCGAAATGGCTGTTTTTGAACCCTGGCTGACGCCTTAACCCCTACACTCCTAAATCCTTAACCCCAAGCCGCCAAAGCCCTGAATTCCCTTAAACCGGCGAAGAAGCCCCGAAAACCCGTTGAGGAACCCCCATGCCATGGACCCTCCTGAACCCTTATAGCCCAGTGAACCCCAACAAATCTCTGATGAGCTCCTTGGCCTCAGCCAGAATCCGCATATTCAACCTAACCCAGATGGTAGCCCCCAGAGCAACGCTTAACTCCGAAGCGCAACCCTACACCCTAAACCCCAAACCCGAACCCTAGCCCCCAAAAAAGCTTTAACCCAAACCCTAAACCCTGAGCCCTTAGCCACTCCCAACAAAAACCTTAACCCAACCCCTTGTGCGAAGCCCTTGTGGTAAGCCCAAAGCCCATTGGACCTGCTTCAATGTCCCTAGGGGACCCTTCTTGAGGCCCTGCGCGATGCTTCGAGGATGAGGCTGGCGAGAGGAGTTGCAAGAGCAAATAATAATGACAATAATATTGACAATCAAGAACAATGAGAATGATAATAATGGCAAGAATACTAATAAAGATAGTCGGCGTCGTCGTGGTGGTCGTAGTAGGAGTCGTTGTCGTCCTCGTCGTCGTCCTCGTCGTCGTCGTAGTAAAAGTAAAAGCAGTAGTAAACTAAAAATAAAGGTAAGAGTAATAGTAACAGCAATAGCAATAGTAACAGTAACAGTAATCATATCAGTACTGTTATTTTTCTTACTGTCAGCGTCATTTTCAGTGGCATTGTTATCGTTATTGTTATTGTTATAGCCGTAGTTCTTCTATTTATTATTGATTTGCTATTATCATTGTTACCGGAACCCGACACCCTAGTCAGACACGGTGGACGGCAGGGGAAAAAGGAGCTCAAACAACAATCTAAACCTTCATCAGAAGAGCACCAAACGCCGCAATAATGTGAGCTATCAACATCATTCTCAGAAGCATCATCAACAAGAACCCCCGGATCGTCATGATGATCATCATCATTGTCAACTTCATTCTCATCCATCAGATTCCATCAGCACCAGAAACAAACAGGAGCCGATCCCATCATACCAGCTCGCAACTTCCGAAAGAGTGGCAGCGATTGGAAAGATGTACACATGTGTATGCAATGTACGTACACATATACACATAGGTACGTATGCATAAACATTTAAAACCATAAATGTGTACGTCTATGTATGTGTATAAGTATTTGCATATGTATTCGATTTTGTATATTAATATTTGCATATGTATTTGGTTTTGTATATTAATATGTATTTGTTGGTGTATATGTACACCGATGTATATATATATATACATACATACGTACATGCATGCATGCATGCATACATATGTATGTATATACACACATATACACATGTGTATATTTGACGATGTATGCATGTGTGTACACACATATATGTATATACACATGTTTGAATATGATGATGGGTATTCAGAGTCGAAGCATTAAAGCCTTCCGTGGGGCTCGCCCATACAGTATTTCGGGTTTGGGGTTCCTGTCGTCGCATTCTTTTTTCGTCTTATCGGGTCCAGGCTCAAACAAAGAATTCCATTGCAGGGATACGTGCGTGTTTTGTAGCCGCGAGCTTGCAGATTCGAAGAGAAGCTCAGAGAAACAGAAAGGATGCTGCCTTCGAAGCGATCATGGCGGGCCGCATCCAAAAGGGGGTCCTTGCCTTACTCGTACCTGTCGCTTTCAGCTTTGCAAGGCGTCAGTCATTCAGAATCTAATCTAGCAAGGAGCCTATAGACTTAGCAAAGGGACACACCCATGCAAAGGCCGCAGTGTTGTTCCTTTTGCGAAGCAGCTGGGCTAAGTGCCAGAAGATCGCATCATGTGCCGAAGCTTCCGTTCCGTCGTTTCAGGTGTCGTCCGGTCCTCGCGATTCCGGTGCACCGATTCTTCCGAGCCCCTCTGTGCCTTGAGGTTTGCCAAGTGTCGGGAGCCACTAAACCAAGTGTCGGGAGCCACTAAACCATGGAATCGCAACAGTCCCCGGGGGTGATAAATTTGGGGGGCCGTTGCTGCGAACACCGGGCCGCCCCAAAGTCAAGGAAGGCAAGAGCCAAAGGCCCCACTTTAAGCCTTAAGCACCACCCCATGCAGAGAGCCCAAAGCCCCCACATCCTGCAGCCTTAAACTTTACAGTTCATATAGGGTCCTTAAATCCTTAGAACAGGTGGTATATTCTACTATTTTTCTATAATACGGAGCCCCTGAAGTAGCATTGGTAACTATCTGGGCCCTACGTCCTAGACCCCGCAAAAAAGCAGAAGATGGAACCTTATAAGACGGATCCTACTATTTAGGGTACTATATTAGGGTTTAGGGTTTAGGGTTTAGGGTCCTTATAATACGGATCCTACAATTTAGGGTCGCCTTAGGACGTGCTGGTGATCCGCTTCGAGGGGCCCAAAGGCTCCCCCGGCATGCCCGAGGCGATGCTTCTGGCTTCCTCTTTTTCAGGGCTATAGGGGCTATAGGGGCTATAGGGGCTATAGGGGCTTCGGGGGTTTAGGGTTTAGGGTTTAGGGTTCAGGGCTATAGGGGCTTCGGGGCTTCGGGGGTTTAGGGTTTAGGGTTTAGGGTTCAGGGCTATAGGGGCTTGGGGTTGAAGGGGGTTTTAGGGTAGCAGGCGAAGGCAGTGCCGGCGGAGGCCTGGACGGCCAGGGCCACCAGCAGCGACCACGAGACCGAGACCGAAGCAGCAGTCGCGCAGTCGGCAGCTCCACAGAAACACGTCCCGCCGCATCCTCGCAGGCATCCACCTGGAAACTCTCGCCGCGCAGGCGGGAACATCGCCGGCACACAGAGAAAGTTCCCGCCAGGAGAGCCGCCAAGGGAGTGTGTGCTGTGGGAAGATGTCCTGGAGACTCTGGAAGGCAGAGTCAGTATCAGGAGAACCAAGATTCGCAAGCGATACATGCCTCACTGTATCAGGCTGGTGAGCGACCATTCTGATGGAGAGCTCTTTCAAGGAGGAGTGCGACCAAGAGACTGAGAAGACAGACATGGCCTCCGTGACAGCTGCTCTGGAAGTCGTGGCCCCTTTGAGCAAGTCAGACACGATGTGACGCGCACACAAGGTCGTGCGTGCAGGCAGAGCATCTGTACTGCAGCCGTGCTGCACTGACGCGTCATCTCCTCGCCGTCCGGGGCTTCGTGCACCAACGCGATACACGGTCAACTGCAACAAGGAGGCGGCGGCAAGGTCGAAGAGCTGACGAGCTAATCGCAAGTGGGAGTCGCCAGGCAGAAGTCGCCGCCACCGTGCGGTAAAGGCAGCGGCCAGGGCCCGCGAGTTAGACTCTTCTCTGGAGTCTCTGGAAGCCTGAATAGAAAACTTTGACCTGAAGTCTTCGGCTCCCACGATGCCGAGGCCGAGGCCAAAGCCAAACAGCTGCAGCAGCTTCAACGCGAGGTGGCCAAACGGCGCGAGGCCAGCCGGAAACGAAGCGCCGCAGCGCATCGCACTGCCAACGCGCCCCTTGCCATGACGAGAAGCACTGGCGGGAGCCGGCCCCTACACCAACCGGTTTGGGGTTTAGGGTTTTGGATTTAGGGTTTAGGACCATTTAGGATTTAGAGTTTGGTTTGCGGTTTCAGATGCAAGGTGTAGTGCAGGGTTTTCGGGTCTTTCGTGGAGTTTCGGATTTGCGGTTAGACAGACCCCGAATGTACCAATACGCAAGAACCCAGATGCTTGGGTCTGGCCAGCCCTACACCCCACCGGGCACAAAATGCTAAAGCCCGCACCATGAAACGCTTTTGGACATCAAACCCTGAACCCTTTACCGCTGGTTCCAAAAGGCCATGGCTGCCAAACCTGGGGTTGGGTTTAGGTAGGGTCTGGGTTCAGGGGGTTCCTGGGCTTTGAACCCCATACCCGGACTTGAAAGCCCAAGCCGTATGCTTTCTGAACCCTCGAAGCTTCAAATCCCAAACCCCCAAACCTTAAAATGGAGAAAAAAAAGCCAACCTTTTCGTCGCCCATTCAGCGCCTTCCAGGACCCTCAAACCCGAAAGTTGAAACTCCGGACCAAACTCGAAAACACTTTCAGACCCTAACGGGCGAGGCGCGCGCACCAAGCCGTAAACACACCGAAACCACCCCTAAACCCCCCAAGCCACCAAGCACTGCCAAACCAGAAACCCCTAAATCCTTCATGCAAACGCCCTTCTGGAAACCTAGAGCTGCTTAGCAACCCAAATCCATAAAACCTAGAAAGCCCCAAACCCCAACCCCCGGAATCCCGAAACACTCCAACAGGTGATAGCAGAGGCACAGATAAGGATTTGGGGTTACTCCAATACGCCCCTGGCCCGACTCTTCCTGGGACACATGTTTTTGTTGAGGAGCATGTCTAGTCCCACAAACTCCGACACCACAAATCCATAGACCTCCACATCCTAAACTTGAACCGTTGTAAGATGCTTGCAAGCCTGTCTATAAGCTTGAAAGAAGCTCTTAAGACCTACACCTCCCGGATCCCTAAATCCTTGTACCCTAAACCCCAAATCCTCAACCCTAAACCCCTGTACCTTAAACTCTATACCCCAAGCCCTGAACCCTACAACCCCAAACCCAATCCCGTCCCTCCTCGCGCAGATGCTCAGCCCTGGGGCCGCTTTGGTTGGCTCCGGGCTCGGCAAAGACGTGGCCCTGGTCACAGACGGCAGATTCAGGCCGGGTGCGTGTTGATTTTGGCTTTTTGGGATATTTGTTCGTTCACTTCTGTGTTTATTCTTTATGACTGTTCTACTGTGTCTTGTTGTTTTTTGACGGGGGGGGGTTGGTTGAAAGTAATCATGGCATGTTTTGTTTCGGTGTTAAGAGCTGTGGGGTTTGTGTATCGGTTTGGGTTTATTGGCTGTATACTGGCACGCCCTTCCGCTTTCGACGGATGTAAGCTTGCCTGGTTGAGGGAGTCAGGGTTTAGTGCATCTTAGGAATTCGGATTGACGGGTTGCTTGCCTCGTCTGAACTACCGAAGCATGTAGAAGACTGTATTGGGAGCATAGTTGGAACAGGATATGACGCCGACAATCGCTGTGACACATTGTGCCATGCAGTGGAATCCTAAACCCGAAACGCTAAACCGCTAAACCTCAAATCCTGAACGCCTCCTCTTGCTTGCAGTGGCGCTTCCCACGGCATCATGGTGGGCCACGTGACGCCCGAGGTCGGTGGCCTAAGTTGCCAGCCACACCTCGAACTTCTTGCTGGTGAGTAATGTGAAAGCTCGCACAACTACCAATCCCATCCCTCTATCTTCCTTATCAACATTATGCTATAATCTACACCGAAACCCTATTCCATTGCTTCAGGCACCTACATTCGGGTTACTCAGGGGTGAAAGTCACTAGTTTGTAGGTTCCCTAGGCCCTAAACAGGAAAGCTTGGATCCCACACCCCAGACCTCAGACGCAGGACACCGTCTTTGGAGTGTTGCCCGTGAAGTCTGGCATGGGAAATTTAATGATAGAAGTACTTAGCAATCTAGCAAGCAACCTTTCCCCATTTTGGGGTAGTAGAAGCCTTGTAGAAGTCATCTACTTATAGTACCCTTTAGGAAATGGGACAAGTAGGGATAGTGCACTGCAGCAGGCATGCCCAGAATAATTATGGTCTAACTCCGGAAGTCACTATCTAATTATTGCTTTCATTGCAAGGTTTTCTCCCAATCATCAACAGCTTCGGGCCAGCACAGGCCCTCATCACGGTTACCTGCCAACACACTTACCGTCATTGCTACATTGTCAACAGTGCCATCATCATCATCATCACCATCATCATGATATTCTTCTTCTTCACCGTCATCTTCAGCATCATATCATCACAGTCATCATCTTCGTCATAGCATCGTCATCATCACCGCCAGCATCGTCATCAGCATCTCGTCCTCCTCCTCCTCCTCCTCATCATCGTCGTCATTATCATCACCATAGGCATCATCACCACCAATGTCACAATAGCAATCAGCCTTGCGTCAATTGAGCATGCAGTAATGGTCACGGTAGGAGTAGGGCCACAGTAGGACTAGCGACGTCATTACTGATTGCTGTTGTTCGTTTCTTGCTATTATTTCTTTTGATGAATCGGTGTTGTGCTTAGCGTTGCTAGGCACTAGGCTCAGGCGTACGTGTTTGCCGCGTGTACCATCTATTACCACAGGTAATTTCATTTCTGCTTGCCCATGATCTTCCGTTTTTGAAGTATATTCGCCTCATTCGTTCTGCGTCTGCTTTTGCTGTCCTTCTTTCTCTTTCCATTGAGATCTCTGAGCCCTAGCCCTAGGCAAACCTCGAGGCCTCATGGCAGCCGAGTAGCCCGCACAGTAGCCTTTGTGACTCCCTAGTATAGTATATAGTATAGTATATAGTATAGTATATAGTATAGTATAGTGTCGTATAGTGTAGTATAGTGTAGTATAGGATGTTGTCAGCGGCCGAGGCCGCGGCTGGCGGCCCCATAGGATTGCTTGTGGAAGGCGACATGGTGACAGTGCCGCACCCTCGGCCCCGAACCCACGACTTAAGGGTTTGGGTTTAGGGTTTAGGGTTTGGGCTCAGATCTAAAGCATTCTCTTGGTTGGGTTTCGAATGGTTCCGGCTTTGTTTCGTCCTGAACGCCGCGAAGCCTTGGTGCTCGACCCCCCCAAAACTCAAATTCGTCCTCCAGCACAGCCCCCAAACCGCGACCCCCAACTCCAAAACCCCAAAAGTCTTAAACCGTTAACCCTAAATCCTAAAGCTTTCGCCCCAGGACTGTAATTTCTGAACCCTAAACCCCAAATCTTCCAGCTAGTGGCCCGTTTCCAAGGCGGCCAGCCACCCGAGAACTCTCGGTGGCCCTCTCTGACGAGGCAGATCTGGCGACTGATCCTCGTCGAGTCATACTCCTGTATAGTATAATCTAGTATAACTGTAGTATAGTATAGCCTAGTATAGTCTAGTATTGTCTAGTATAGTCTAGTATAGTCTAGTTATGCCTAGTATAGTTTTGTGTAAGTATAGTATAGTACAGTATAGTACAGTACAGTACAGCATAGTATAGTATAGCATAGCGTCGTATAGTATAGTATAGTATAGTTTAACATAAAACATTACAATACAGTGGGCGTGGTAATCCTGCTCACCCTCTTTCGTCTTCCTGGCCCCCTCCTCGTCCGGAAAAGCGAATGGGTTTAGGGGATCACTTCCGGCCAGGAGCTGGCCAAGCGGCGAGCGGAGTGGCGGCCCCCAGCAGCAAGGCCTGGCCTGAACCTCCGTGTCCAAGATAAGAATTTTAGGGTTTAGGGTTTAGGGCTTAAGGATGCCTAATGGTACCCCGTAGCTTGTGTCCGAGGTTGAACTACTTTCTTAAGCTAGACTAAGCAAGTGAGAGGTAGCTCTGCCAAAATGTGCTCCCCAAAAATATTTAAATTACATTACTGATATCCTAAACCCGCGTACTCGATTAATGGGTCCTTTGAACCCTTAGCGTACGGTTCTTTATGCCCTAAACCCTCCCCAGCCCTAAGCAGAAGCTTCCATTTTGACTTGCTTGACGCTTAATACTAAACATCCAATAGCGCAGATGAAGCTGCAATAAGCATGTGAAAGTTTCAGAAAATATGTAGTGTCAGTAATCTGCAACAACATTTGCAAACATGTGCTGGAGTAGACAGGCAGACTAGTACAGCAAATGCACAACACAGTACGCGGTAACGTGCAAGGTTGTAGAACCACCAAGACGAGCTGAACATGTCGACAGTCACTGCCGTAGTAATCTGAACCAGCGGCAAGCAGATTATGGGTATTTGGAGTTCAGACATATATGGGAGTTTCCGGAATAAGGGGTACCTTATTTTGGGGTCCTTATAATAAGGATCCTACTATCTGGGGTACTATATTAGGGTCCCCTATTTTCGGAAACCCCCCTATTGTAACAGGAACGCTTTGTTCGAGCATGTTGAAGGGGCCGGACACGAAACTGCACCAACAAACCCCTCTACAGTAGCTGCCAAGACGCCAAAGAGAATGAGTGGCAGTAAAGACTTGGCAGACTGGCGCAAGCCGTGAGTGTTTCAGAAGCCACAATCCCCAAATCCTGTATAACAGCTTCCATAGCCCCCCATTACCTGTTGTTGCACCAAGACACCCTCGACCCTTCACACCCTCATCCCAGAACCCGAAACCCCAACACCCGAGATGCCAAACACACAAGCCAGGAACTGCAAGCACGACACCCGCAGCCCTAAAATCCGAAACTTCTTGCCAATGCGGGAGGCCAGGGACGTTTGGTGTCTTGGCCAAGTACGCAGCGCAGGCTCTCGAAGAACCTTCGCACGCCAAGGGCTCGCATGGGAGAGTTCCGAACCTTATAAGCCATGGGATGCTATGGAGTGCCGGTATTTTTAGGTGTTCGTTGCGGCTCCGAAGACCGTGTTAGGTATGCTTTTCGACGAGTTGGGAGCACATTCAGCCTCAACGCCAGATGTTGGGCCCTAAACCCTAAACCCTAATCCCTAAAACCCTAAGCGGGCTTGGGGCGTGAGCATAGCTGGACAGCCAAGAGCTTCGGGCGTGGGCCTCCGACATTAAAGCCCAAGGCTCTCGAGAAGTGTGTACGGAATCAGCGCATAGTTTTGGTTGGATTGAAGCTTGTGTCATTGGTTTCTGTTGCTTTGGGTCGTTTCAGCCCAAGATTTCGGCCTTGTTGTTTCGGTGCCCAAAGAAGCACATACGGAAAGGCGAGCGCACAAATATGTATGTACATATCTATGCATGTTGCATGTAGGTCTGCGGGTCTGTATGTCTGTGTGTATGCATGCATGCATACATGCAGGGATGTTAGTATGTATGTCGATAGCAGTTATGTACTAGGCAAGCATGCGTGAAGCTATGTGGTATGTAGGTGTGCATGTATGTATGTATGCATGCATGTACGTATGTACAAATGCAGCGTAATGCAATGCAATGCGGTGCAGCACTGCTCCATGCAGCGCAATGCAACCGATTGGAATGCATGCGAATGTCATTGCCAATGTAAACGTAGATGTAGATGTACACGTACATGTAATACTTGCATACTGACCGACAAGCATATGCGCACACATACATACATACATACA